GTTGAAACTTATGGCTGTATGAACTTGTGGTATGACCAGTTGTCCGCTGAACCCCTTTGCTTTGTGAAGTTGCTAAATTGCACAAAGAAAGAAAAAGAAAACTGGAAGCGTGACAGGGTGCCGCAACTTTTGATTCCTGCTGGTCGCCGAGGACCTCGGAAGTGGGCGCGGCGGGTGACAGGCGCCGTTGCCCTTGGCTTCGGCGAACGGTAGGCGCCCCTCCCCGGGTTTCCTCACACCGTACCTGGATAAGTTTATGGTTGTCTACCTGGATGATATCCTGGTATTCAGCAAAACTACCAGGGAACATGCAGAGCCCCTGGCTCTGGTTCTTCAGTCGTTACGTGACAGCCAGTATAAGATCAACAGGGAGAAGTCCTCTTTTGGAGTTCCCTCTGTTATCTACCTGGGTCATGTGATCTCTGGAGACAGACTGGCCCCTGAAGCAGCCAAGATTGCTGCTATTCAGGATTGGCCACAGCCCCAGACAGTGAGAGATGTTCGGTCTTTCTTGGGTCTGGCCTCCTACTACAGAAAGTTCGTCAGGAACTTTTCTGCAGTGGCTGCACCCCTGACTAACCTTACAAAGAAAGACACTCCCTTTCTTTGGTCTCTTCACTGCCAGCTGGCCTTTGCACGACTCAAACAGGCCTTGACTCGTGCACCTGTTCTGAAGTTGCCTGACCCCACCTTGCCTTTTGTGCTGACTACAGATGCTAGCCACTACGACATTGGGGCAGGCCTTCAGCAGGATGATGGGAATGGTCTGAGACCTGTAGAGTTCATGAGTAAGAAGATGAAGACTCAGAAGCTTCATGACTCTACCTACGAGAAAAAGCTTTGTGCTCTTGTTAGTGCCCTGAAACACTGGAAACACTTTCTCCTGAGCAGGCACTTCAAGATTTTTTCTGATCATTCCACTTTGTAGTGGTTGAAGTCCCAGGGAGAGTTGAATGATAAGTTGGCACGTTATATTCAGTTCATTGATCTGTTTGACTTTGAACTGAAGCACAAGAAGGGCTGCTACAACAAGGTAGTCGACGCCCTCTCTCGTAGGCCTGACTCTTTTGCGCTGATCTCCTCTACTCATTCCTTTGGAGAGGTGGTCCGTCAGACCATTGCTCGTTCACTGCCTCAGGATCCGACTTATGGACCCATCGTCAGGAATCTGCAAGCAGATCCCAACTCTGAACCTGGCTATGTCCTGAGTTCAGATCTGCTGTATACTTACAACAGAGGAGAGGAGCGCTTGTGCATCCCTGAGGATCAGCAGATGCGGGGACTGCTGATGTCAGAGTGCCACGACGCTCGTGGACACTTTGGGTTCCTAAAGTCGTATGCAGCCCTTGTCGCAGCGCTTCTTCTGGAAGGAGATGCGGAGTGATATGCTGCGCTATGTGGACACCTGTGAGCTCTGCCAAAGGAACAAGGTTCAGCGTAAACCTCCTTTGGGATTGCTCAAACCTTTGCCCATACCTGATGGTCCTGCCCAGTCTGTATCTATTGATTTTACAGACTTAGGCAAGACTACCCCTCGTGGCATGGGTCAGGTCATGGTCTGCGTGGACAGGTTTTCCAAATACGCAGAATTCATCCCCTTGCCAGAGGTAGCCAAGGTACCGGCTGTGAGAGCAGCCTTTTCTGAGAGGTGGGTCACGCACGATGGACCGCCCACCTCTATTGTTAGTGATCGAGACCCCAGATTCTGCAGCGATGAGTGGCAGTCCTACTGCAAGGACTATCTGCACTCACGCCTGGACATGACTTCTGGTCGTGATCCTGAAGCCAATGGATTGGCTGAAGTGATGAACCAAGTCCTGTTCCAGTTGCTACGTCCTGTGATCTCTCCCGATCAGCAGGACTGGGATCTCCACTTGGCGAGGGCACAACTCACGTATAACATGTTTGTCCACTCCTCGACAGGGTTCAGTCCCTACCGACTACATTGGGGACGTGAGCCACGACAGCCTCTCGATGATATCATCGACAAGGCTAAGCCTGACCTTACCCCAGGCACTGCAGAGTTCGCCAGACGCTATCGTCTGGATGTGGAAAGAGCCCGGGCGAACTTGTTCAAGGCCCAAAAGGCCATGATTGAACAAGCAAACCGCCACAGGCGGCCTTCCCCCATCCGCATTGGGGACTATGTCTGGGTGGCCAGTTCTGAGTTGTCGAGGGAACTTTTTAATCACTTGTAATTTTTGTGAAAATTCACCTGGAGGATATTTCTCCCAAGTTGTTGCCATGCTACTAGGGTCCGTGGCAGGTTCTAGATACAGTGGGCGCTGATCCCTTCGATCCGTCGTACGTCATCGGCGTTCCGCTGCATCTACGAACCTATCCGGTCTTTCATGCATCCAAGTTGTTGCCTTTTACGCCAGTTGATGCATTCCCTGACCGACCCCCTCAATGGGGCCCACCAATCCCTGGCAAGGGATATGATGTGGTGGCCATTGAGGATGAGTGGGGCACTGGCCCCGACCGACACTATCTTGTCAGGTTCGCTTTCCAGCCCCCTTCTGAGAACCGATGGTTCTACAGAAGAGACCTGATCAAGACAGCAAAGTCTGTTGTACTGCGATATGATGCGGCTCAAAAGGGTGACCTTCGCCGTTCGCCTCGCCTGCACCCCTAGCTCGGAGGTCCTCGCTCCCGGGGAGGGTAAGCCTGCAATGACTTGCTGATTTCTGCTGCCGAGATTGTCTGCGAGGCTGTACACTAACAAGTAGGGTTAGTTTTGCAATTTTGTTTGGCTGAGGGCTAACCGAGAGATCCGTCTGTGTGGAAATTCGTGAGGGACAGATCTGTAATTTTGGAAAATACAGACCTGGTACTAACCGAGTTCCTACAGCTACCCTAACTGCCTATAGCAGGCCCGGGCTACCCCTAGGACAGACAGGCCCTAAGTGGCCTATACTGCTATACGGTCCTATAGCCTATAGCCGGGTACAGTAGAGGCTGAGAGGCCGAAACAGCAACGGTACCGGTAGGTCCAGTCAGTCCGGTCTAGGTCTAGGCTAGTGTAGGAAGTCTATAAGGCGTGTAGGGGAATCGAGTAGGGACCTTTGGCTTTTCATTTTTCGCACACAGCGTTGGCGGCCAACGAAGTTTGCAGCGCTGAAGACCTACAGCGGCACCTGGAGGTTTCAGCAGGGTGAGGCAGCCATAGCCGCCTACCTGAGACAGCCATAGTTGGGGCTGTGCTCAGCGCATCTATCCCCAGGGGATATCTGCGTTAGGCAGGACTACTGGAGGGTCTTCACTGAGTACATGTGGGTACCGCTGCTGCGGTAGCAACTAGGCAGCCATAGCTGCCTTCTTCATCGTCAGAGTGACTCATCGGCACTGGAGACTACTTCGCTGTTCATGATCTGCATCTGAGGGTGTATGGCGCTGGTCTCTGGGAGGCTGTTTCTGTGCAGCGCTAGACTTTGAGACTGTGGTAGTGAGTGGAGTGTGTGGTTCTTGAGTGGCGAGACACTGGGTTGAACTCTGTAACGATAATTGAGGTTAACTGTGTTGAGTTGGCTCATCATCTGGGTTACTTTCCGATTGTGATCTTCGCAGTGTCATCCTGTGATTGGTTGTTGGGAGTTCATCAAAGAGAGAGAACACTGTGTGTATTCTCCCCATCTGTGCATGATTGTTATTCCGCTGCTTATCTCTGGTCTGTGTGCACGTGGACTCTGTCTCTTCCTCCCCTTTGACTCGTGCATGAGTTCTTCTGTGTGTGAGTGGCAATCAAATTGTCAAACAACCAAGTTCATAACACAGTGGTAAGGCTGCAGAGGCAGCCCGCTTGCAGTTGGGGCAGATGGAGAAGCAGAAGTAAGGAAGGTCGAGACAATTCACAGAAGTGAGGAGGGAAGAACACACCTCCTGGGATGAAAGTTTGACTTCAATGGCGGACAGATTGCCCATCATTGAAACCAAAATCTCCTCCCTTGCAGATCGTTTTGTGGCAGTCATTGATCTATGTTTCCTCCCTCCTACTCGTACTCCTACTGCTACACCACATTCCAATCCAAGGTCCTCTGCTGCTGCATCATCCCACGCCAGTAGCCCCAAGAGCAGACCAGCTAGACCTCCAATGGTGCAGTGTCTGCAACTTGTCGCAGGGCACCTTGTGACTTTTGGGGCTAAACTGACTGCAGCTGTAGGCCAGCAGGCATCAAGGGACCCCAAAACAGTCCAACCTGACATATTCACTAGGGATAACCCCAAAGTGGACGTAACAGATTGGACTGCCTCTATACGATGGTACCTCAAGGAACACACTTGCCCAAAGGTTACTAAGGTGCAGTCCACTGTGGCCCATTTGGGAGGGCCTGCACTTCAGTGGGCTACCTCTGAGGCCAACAAGGCCCAGGACTGGTCGACTGGGTTGTTACAGTAGGATTGGACCAAATATTTAAGGGTCTGGAGGAGAGGTTCACCGATGGAGAGAGAGTCAAGGACGCTGCTACAGAGCTTGTGAAGTTAGGCCAGTCAGAGTGGCAGGGATCCCTCTCCAAGCTCTACGCAGTTTGCGAAAGGCTAACCCCTACCCCTGGGTTACCCATATCAAACCAGGACAAAATTGCAGTTATTTGCTGTGTTGAAATCCGGGCCGCCCGGCGGCCCGGCCTTCGTCATGTCGGGGTCTTGGGCGGCCCGGTCGGTCGGGTCCCCCGGTTGAGCGCCGGGCGGGTCCAGCGCAATTTCGCTTGGGGGGTTGGGAGGGGCTGGGCCGGCACAAGAGGCCTCCCCACACACCCCACTTCAACGTAGGACTTAAAAAAAAATAAAAAAAAATGACAGTTTTTTAAAGGGGGGAAAGACCGTTCCTGGCAACTGATCCCAACTGCCAATCTGCGAACATCGGCGGCTGAGATCAATCGCCAGGAAAGGCCTTTTCCCCCTGACAAGATCGTGTGAAAGGTGTTACAAATTCGAACGTGCGATTTCGTCGGTGCAGCCTCGTCGCTCGTCGATCGTAGCCGTCTTCCAGCAACCCCGTCACTCACCGCCATGGAGTGAAGCTCCGTTGCTGCTGCCGTCGAACTCCTATCGCTGCTGCCGCCGAGCTCTCATCGTCATCCTGTGAACCCTGATCGCTGCTGCCGCAGACACCTTCCGACCCCCCGTCGCTCGTCGCCACCCTGTTGCAGCCCCGTCGTGAGTCACTGTTGTCGCCGTCGTGGGTGAAGCCCCCTTCACCTGCTTTCTTCCCACTCTTCTTCTTCTTCTTCTTCTTCTTCTTCTTCTTCTTCTTCTTCTCCTCTCCTCCTTTCGTCTTCTTCTTCTCCTCCCCTCCTCCTCCTCCTCCTCCTCCTCCTCCTCCTCCTCCTCCTTCCTCTCCTCCTCCTCCTCCTCCTTTCATCTTCTTCTCCTCCTCTCCTCCTCCTCCTCCTTTGTCTCTTTTTTTTCAAGTCACCTTCTTCTTTCTCCTCCTCCTTCCTCTCCTCCTCCTCCTCCTCCTCCTCCTCCTGTCATCTTCATCTTCTTTATCTTCTTTCTCCTTTCCTCCTCCTCGTTTCATCTTCTTCTTTTACTTCCTCCTCCTTTCATCTCGTTCTTCTTCCTCCTATCTCCCTTCTTGATCTTATTCCTCCTCGTCCTCTTCCTCATATCATCTTCTTTTTCTTCTTCGTCTTCTTATTCCCCCTCCTCCTCCTCCTCTCCCCCCTCCTCTCAATGGACTCGCTGTTGAAACACACCATTTTACCCCCTTGTCAACCCCCCCCCCCCCCCCCCCCCCCCCCCCCCCCCCCCCCCTCCCCCCCACCCCCCCCCCCCCCCCCCCCCCCCCCCCCCCCCCTTTCCCTCAACCTCCCCCAGCTCCCCCGCCCCCCACCAACACGCATGCCTTTCACAAGTTTCTCTGCGGATTTGGGCTCTTCTCAACGAGTGCAATCCAACCTCGTCTTCAAAAAAAAAATATAAAAAATCCTTGGACGTTTTTTGGCTCGTCTGGTTTTGCCAAACGGACCCCCCCCGATCCATCCAGTCCGTCTGGACCGAGCGTCGGCCTAGCCCAGGTTATTTGTCCAGGCTACCCCGATAGCTTATGTACAGGCCCTATTTTTTGCAGGTCACCAAGACTGGAGGGCCTTTGGCAGAGAAGCCGTGGAACTGGAGGTCAAACTCCAGATCCAGTCCACTTCCCGAAAGGGAAGCACCTCCCCTTCTCCGGGTCAGAGGAAGAGTAAAGGGAGGTGGCATGCCCTGGAGTCTGAGGAAGACTCTCCAGGCTTTGACCAGAGGGGATTGCATCCCTCAGCTGGTCAAGGTGTAGGAGCCTTCCCAGACCAGGACTTTCTGACTTTGGCTCAAGAACTGGTAAACGCCATACCCAATTCAAATCAGGTCCAGAGACAAAAGTCCCCCTCTCCTACGGGGTCTGGCAAATGCCCCTCTGAGAACTTTGTGAGAAGCAGAATCTGCCCAAGTTTGCCAAATGTTCAACTCACCGCATGGATTCTTCCTCCCTCCCATAGAGGGACATGCGCGTTCCCAATGGGTTGTGGCAAAAGAGAAAGGATGCTGGTGTTTGCCTTAGATGTGCAGGGCAGCACTTTGTGACAGACTGCCCTTCCTGGGGCAACCACTGCGCTGTAACCTGACCCAGTCAGCAGTGGATCCTGCTGAATTGAGTGTCCTGCCTGGTGAGGAAGGATCAGGTCCCGTTTGGTTGTGTATAACTTACTTGTGTGTGTTCAGCTGATGGAAACCTGCTCCTTGCGTAGTTACATAGAGCTTGATTCCTTCGCTGCTCCCGTTGACTTGGCTGTGCATTACCCGTGCTTAAGAAAGAATATGCTAAGCTCCGAGCTTGTTCAAGTTTCTCAAACACCGCTGATGGACAGACTGTTAACTGGACTGAATTCATCTTCTTTTGAAGATGAATCAGCCCCAAGATAACTTTCAGTCTAACAAGCATGTGAGTACTTTGAATCCTTGTCTGACTACCCCTTGTGTATGTTTTGGGTTGCATTCATTGTCTTAGCACGTTTTCCGTACATACATCGGATTGCACTCATTGTATGGCTGACCAGTCCACTAATTACAGTAGCGCCAGCCCAGTGCCTATCTAGAAGTACAACACCCGTGCTCCCTGAGGGAAGAGAAGTTCAACCAGCAATCTTGAAGAAGAAGAAGTCCCTTTTGAGGAAGAACCGCAGATACGGCTGCCACTTGGAAGAAGATGGCAACGCTCCAACCCCAAAAAAGCACACAAAGTGAGGAAGAGCCAACAGCGCTCAGGGCCTGTAGCCCAGCGCTGCCTTCTATGGAGTGACAGGCCCCAGCTATGGCCTCCAGCTCCGTGGAAGAAGAAGAACCGCTGCTCTCTCTGCTATCCGCACAGCAGCGCTCGTACACAACCTCCCACCAACAAAGTGAAAAGCAAAAAAAAAAAAACGAGCCGACACTCTTCAGCCTCGAGTCTTTTCTACCAACCGAAACTACAGCCTATGACAGACCTACGGACTACTACCTACGGCTGAACTGCACCTAGACCCAATACGGGGAAAAGGGGAAAAGCACCAACTGACCAAACAAGCCTACGGGCATACAGCAAACAGCTGCAGAAAACGACAAGACTACAACGCACTAGACTGAGAGAAGTCCCTCTAAGGGACAAGTAAAAGGATCGAGTCCCATGCGGCTCAAAACATAAAACAAACTACAAAGCTGAACACTTTGTACAGCCCCACTGGGAAACTGCGATTTATTGCACGAGTATATCGGATCTATCCGGCAGACCTTTAGGAGCTAAAGAAGCAACTGAAGGAGTTGGCAGAGAAAGGTTGGATCAGACCCAATAGTTCAACTTGTGGGACACCGGTACTCTCTGCTGAAGAAGGATGAGGGAGTCCGCATTTGCAGTGACCACATGCACTGCACCCCTCGACAACTACACACATCGCTGCTTGGGATAATGATATAGCCTGAAACTACATGGCAACACCATGGAGGAAGGACTCGGTTGAAACGATGTTCGATGACAATTGAACAACATGACCATCAAGAATGTGAAGTCATTCCTCATGCATAGGTGACCTATTGTACAGAGTGGAGGGCTGCAGAATCTTCCCTGAGATGATTTCAAAAGCAGTTATCAACTAGGAAGATTCTCAATCTCGGCCGGTCCTCCCGGCCAGGCACCCGGGCATGCAAATTTTTTTTTTTTATTTTTTTTGGGGGGGGGTGGGGGGTGTTCTGCGCTCTCCCTGAGGACTCCAAATCCGGGCTCATTTCTTTTTTTGCTAGTTGGCTATCACTGGGCAAATAAGAGAGGTATAAATTGGTTTTAAAGGGGCTAAAGGGGTTTAAAGGGGGGTGCCCCTTAAGTGTGATTCTGTTATTTTCTTTTTTATCTCCGATTCTGAGAGGAATTCTAATGTGACCCTCAGCCAAAAGTCGCTTGTATCTAGGCTGGGCCGCCGCCCAGCCGGGCGGGCCCGGGGGGGTCCGCCCAGGAAATCCAAGCGGCCCAAAAACCCAGCAGGGTTTCTTTTTTTGTTTTTGAAGACAGGGTTTTGCTGCACTACCCCAGAGGACCCCGATCTGCAATAAAATAAT